GATAAGTGCTACACAACATTTATCTTAACCCTACACTTGTACCCACTCACAGGTCCTTAGATTGAGAATATGGCTCATTTGAACTGCAGGCGATGTTTGACATTTTACTGGAATCTTTATATAGCCTAAATCTGTTTAAATTGTATTTGTTTGACAGATGGAACAAACAAATGGAGATATGCAAGGTATTTTAACAGAGCCTTAAACTATTACCCTCACAATCATTACATTTTAACCTCTGAAGTTCATATATGGCTGATTTATTTGTGTCTGATTCAGAGTTGATTTCGAATATCCATTATATTAAAATCCCTCTAAGTCTCTGATTAAGGTATGGCTATGTATCCAGCTGCTAATAGCTACAATTCACAAAATCCTATGGAAGCCTATGGTCAAAATCTTTTTCTTTTTGCTAACCTAAAATTTAGACTGCAAGGGGATAATAGGCATAGGTGAATGAGAATCAAGGAAGTTGTAGAACGTAAATAAGTTACCAATCCCAGACCTGAAGTGAGTGTACTTTTTACAGAAACTCATTTTAGAATATGGTGTATAATTATGATTGATGAATTGCATTATATTCTGCAGATTGCATCTTAGAATGCCACTATAGCTCCCGTTGGTCACTCCTTACAATACAGCTAATTGATTGTTTTTATATTTCGAATAATACTATACTTGAAGTCGTTAATGGTAAAGACATTTTAAGAATGTATGTTTAAAACTTTTAGTTTATCACCCTTAGCTGATCTTGTGATTTTGAATTGTGAAATGTAGGGATTTTTTTACAGGAAGTAGTAATCTTAATTTTCTGGCATTGTACAAAAATACTTTTAATGGGACTTCCTCAAAAACTGCAGTATCAGTTAAAAACTTACTTTGCCAGAGTCCAGGTCCCACACAGTCCACTGAAAAGCAATTTTGTACCTTCTAGTCCCTGAAACCTAAACATTATTTCAAAAGTGTTTGGTACAGGAGTGCTAAGCATAAAGAATTCAAGTTGGTGCTACCCAAAAGGAGATCAAATGCATACCTCCAAACAAAAGGATTTAAAAATACAAAAACAAACACAGGGTGATGGAGGATGGGGCCAGAATTGCAGCATGCAACTAATGCAGTGCATTGGTGATGAGAGGCATGCAGCAATGCGAGCTTATCAGCACAGCATATTAGCATGCTAGATTCACAGACAACCCTTCAAGCCAGCTGACCAAGCGTCCTTGTACAGCGTAGCAACAAAATGGTGGCAAGTGACCAGCAAGCAAGCCAACCAAAGCCCTTGCACAGAGTTCTGCAGAAGTGGTGTTGCATGGGCTAAGATATGCTCACACTATCTTTGTCCATGCTATTTTGGAATTTGTCTAGAAATGGTACATACACTTTAAAACCCAAGATGGCTAGACAGTTGTCCCACATCAGGAGTGTCCTGCTGGACTCAGGACAATGGGAGGGAGGCAAACTAAGTTGGGATAAGCAGCCAATAGAGTTGTGACCCTTTTGCAGCATTCCTTGCACACTGATATGTGGAGTGCCAACCAGTTTGCATGCATGGTGCATTTGATATAGTTGTACGCTGCGTGCTTTTTAGAGGAACCACATGTGACACTTATTCAGACCATATTCTATAGTTAAATAATACATGAGAATCCTTCAACATTGCTGTTTTGTGTTTTCCCAGCTAGTGATTTAGGTCATTTGTTCACAATTCCGCTGTCCATTTCCACTTGAATAGCAATTACACTTTTCTAGAGCACTCACTTTATAGATGGGTGTGACAAGATTAGAGGGTAGCGCATAAAAACAATGTACTAACCTTTTTTATTACAGCATACATTCATTTTTTTTTCCATTTCTTTTAGCACAATGTATAAATGTTTTAAGTGATGCACAGCAATACTTTAGCCCATTTATTTAACGTGGAAAAAAACTTATCATGATGAAATCAGTAACACCTCTGTTAAGATGCACATTTTCGAAGAGTTTTTTAACACGTTGCACCAGGAACACTCCAATTAATATTGATAGCTACAGCTACGTTAAATGCACTAATTGACAGAGGACTGCATTGCAGAACACTTTGGTACCCAAAGGGTTTTGTTCTTGTACAGATAACAATATAGGTGAAGCTGCTGTGAAATTAGGTAATTGGTCGCATTTTAATCTTTGTTGTTTACTGTACACAATAATAACTATAAAATGTATGGTGTAATTAAGTGTATTTTACGAACTATTCCCATGATTGGAATGCACTAAAATTCAGTTAATACTAAGCATACAAATAGACAGTGTCTTGCTAGGAAACTAAAGTATAGTAGTCTATAGCTGGTACATGAAGGAAATGAAAAAAGTTACTCTATTTTGTAATATATTTCTGTTCACCAAAAATATTTCTTACATATATTAGATGTACATGAAATCATATTGTGTAGGGAGCAAATACATTTTTTATTTAATTTCTTTTACCACACTGTTAAGGCCCACATTACCTTTTTTTCCCATTTTTATTTTGTTATTTTCTTACCTCACTTTATGGACCCACATTAATTGTTTTCCAATTTAATTTAATTTTTTTAACCTCACTGTTAAGGCCCACATTACCTGCTTTCCCTACGGGCCTTCACAGCCCAGCCTAACTTGGCACATAAAATGGTACACATTTGTAAATAGAATATAGATGAAATGATAATATGGGCTCAAATAGAATTTAGTTATAAAAAACAAACAAACTCTGTATAGCTTTGCCCACCACCTTGTAATACTGTAAAATCAAATAAAAGTATATAAAATTAATCTAAAAAGAAACATTTCAATATTTGATTTGTTTCACTAGACGTCTGATATCATGATGTATCCCAGGATTAAAGTAGATTTAAGTACTGTGTTTTTTTTTTCTATTTATTAGATTTATTGACCGGAAATGTAGCCTACAGTTTGTTTCTATGAGCCCATGGCATTCACAAATTCCCATTAAATGAATACACTCTCATGGTATTCCATAATCTGTTGATTATATAATTCTATAATTATTTCTTAGGCTGAGCCACAGTATTAAATGAAAATGTGTTGATGTGTTTTTAAGTTAAGTGATGAATTCCATCAACTGTCATTAATTCTAGTAACGTTATCTAAAAGAACTCTTCCAGTTGGAGTAGGCCCATTTTTTTTAAATTTGTAATTCATTCTATAAAGATGCATTACAAAATAACATGCAAAAAGTTATTGTAACATAAAATCAAAAAATGTCCTATGCATAGCCAACCGGTGTGCTGCAAGACTAGAGCAGGAAAGGGCTTTGAGTGGCAGATGTGCGTGTCTTTTATGTTGGAGGCCACAATAGGCTAGACTTATGTTTTCAACAATCTTTAAAAATTCCTGAAGTTATAAGTAATTGTGAACAATGAGAAGGAGACCTGGATCACCTATGCAATAAGTTCCTTTTTTATTGTTCCTAGAAATGTCTCTTTGAAACTACCAATATGGCTTATGTACTAGTTCCACACTCGTTTAGTGAGTCCACACATTGTGGACTGCACTTTGCATTGTGGGAGTGAGCATATGTGCTGTATTTTTAAGGGCCTTATTGATGGAAGAGGAGGCAATCAAGGTGTGTATATTTTTTTGCCTATAATTTTGCAGGCATGTATGAACACTGTATACTTTGAATAAAAATGTTAAGCAGACCTCGCCTTCTATAGTTCCGCTAAGCATAAATTAAGCATCATCGGTATGGTCCATTGTATTTTCTCTCCACCCGGGAATTTACCATAATTAAAGGTACACACCATGCAGTCTACACTTAATTACACTGTACCAATTAACTTAATATAGTGCAGAGAGTTGCATTCCAATCCACTATTATTTTTCTTCCATGTGATATCTTAACTCCTATCAGTAGACAAAGGTGGGTTGTCATTTGGAGCCCACAAAACAAGTCATAGATGAAGCATGGCTATAAAATGACCACTATTGTTTTATTTTACATTGTATGCATTATTCAATCAGGATTTCAACCAATCATCCTCACCATGTCACTTAGCAATACTTTACAGCATTTCTCTTATTACAATGTATCAACATTGATATTATAGCATAATGACGACTGACCTTTTAATTAGAAGTAATATATATGTGTGTATGTACTAGAGCACCTCTCAAACTCTTACAGGGTTATTCAATAAACTGAGAATAGATATGGAATTCTTTCAGATTGAAAACCAAAGTAGCCAACTCTTTTTGCTTAAATTGTGAAGTTCACTTTGATTTCCTTTCTATTCTCACTTGAGTGAATAGCCCTATTAGTCTCTAGTGCTTCCCAATAATGATGTAGTAAGATGTATGTGTTTAGCATCAAAGGTATGTTTTATTTAACTTGAAATCATGGATCTGTACATAGCATTTTAAAGACACATATCTAAAAAAACAAACAAACAGGCATTGTGTTCTTTTAAATAGTTAAATTCATACAAACTCAAACCTGTAGTAGACAAGTATGTTAGCATTATTTATTTAGTAATGTAATTAGTTACTAGTACTACTACATGCTATGATCTCATTTAAAATAAATTACAGATCTGTTATCATATTGTGATCAGGGAAATGTTCTGTCGCCTAATTTTTTTTAATTTTTTTCAGTTTTTTTAAAGAAATCATTGTAATCACCTTGTCCATATTTCCTAAATATAGTTTAGTTCTGTTTATATCTTCAACTTTTGATTTTATTGAAGGGCTTTGATTTGTGTCAAATAATTGCACACCATATTCAATAAAATGTTTTGTAAGAAATTAAAGATTTGTCTGTGTTTCTCTCTTTTTACTTGTTTATATTTTTGGGGAAGGGTTTTGTTCTCCCACTTCTACCCATTTTCCTTAGAGTGATTTTGTCACCCGCATACTAATCATACTCTTTTTAAAGAACATGAAATTTAATCTACATATTGTGCTATCAGTTTTGCTAGCAAATGTATAGATTGAAAGAAAAATATTTTAAATCTAGGTTTTTCCTCCCACCTGCCAATTAATTATTTGGCATTGACTGTGTTATGAAGAATTGATTGAGAGTGAGAGCAGAAGGGACCTCCCACAGGAGGCCTTTCTGTTCTCCACCCACAGCAAGAAGAGCGCATGCACTGTGGTTGTTATGGTAACTCACTAGCCGGCACTGCTAGGACTGGCTAGTGATTATAGAAGCTGAATGACTGACGTCTCTCCATTCACATGCCAGTATGCTGGCAACAAAGCCAGCATGTCAGAGTCATGGAGAAGGTTTGCCTGGTTTGGAAACACTTTCCCAGGGCAAATCCGTGAGGAGCAGGGGCAGACCACAGGTGGGTGGTACAGAAGTGTAAGTAAGAAGCTCACAGAGGGTCAGGTAAGTGCCTGATAGGTTCCTTTTAATTATTAGATCAGATTTAGGCACTAAATCCTAATCACAAATTAAAAGTCAGTTAATGGTGTCTCAATTTCTAAGCTGGAACATTTATGTCACGAAATATAAAGTCCCAAACACTATCTTCTGAATGACAATAACGGATTGTTTAAAAATAAAATCTTGCCTCGGGAGGGGAAATTACAAATAAGGTCCAGTATTTAACCCATACTGCAAGACTAATACAGAAGTGTTTTCATGCAGAAATAGTGATTTCTCTACATACCTCAAAACAGAATGCACGTGTCGTGGTTGATTATATATTTCCTACCTGTTCTATGTAAAATATTGTATATATTGTGTATTAATATTGTTTTTGTATTTTATTGTACCCTATTGTAACAATGCAATGATTTGTGGACCCAGGACATACTTGAAAGCGAGAGAAATCTCAATGTATATTTCCTGGTAAAATATTTTATAAATAAATAAATAAATGTGAAAGCTAGTGCTAAGAAAATAGATATGTATTCAGTGCATTCCATCAATGTTCCCTCAATTTTTTTTTAGTAACTGGTGTGCTTAGAAATATTTTGTTGTGCAGTTTTTTTTTCCTGTTTTAAAAGTATGTGCGCGCTGAATGCTTGGTCAAATGTAAATGTATTCAAGTTACGGCCCCTCTCATGGCTAATAAAACTTTATTGCCATGCTTTAATATAATACAAATATGATTGCAAGTGACTTTATTATGACCACATGCCACATTGCCTACATACATTTCATTCTGCCTCCATTTTATTGTGCCTACATTTATTGTGATGATTCGGAATCTCTGAGTCTGCCGCAGTGCTTCCCTGGTGATGATGAGTGCATCTGCACAGCTCTACGATTAATGGCTGCGCTCAGACAAGAAATATTAATATCTCTGTGACCATGGACAAGATTAACAAGATCAGCCACAGGCCTGTGCTCACATACTTTTGTTATCAATGCTACAAGCAAAAGGTGTACATAAATGTAATGGATCTCTCTCTACGAATCACATTTATTCCCTTGCTTCGTACGTTGCACTCTCTCTTTAACCCCATTGTGTGGGATTAGTTTTTCTGAGGGGAGAGGGCACTCTAAAATGCTCCACCTATTGAAGGGCTGTGGCGCAAGACTGGTTAATAACATTAATTATTAGGGAGATTTTAAACAAATTAAAGGTGAACTGGACATTCATCTGGCATCATACTTTTTGGGGATTTTATGTTCATGGGAACTGAGCACCCACTGACACCCATAGGGGGTTTCTGCAAATTGGTGACAGAACCGCTTTAGGAATAGAGAAGGATAGCAGGGCATTTGAGGCTTCTTCTGTCACTGCACTGTACTTCTGAAAAAATTGATTACAGCAAGTAACTTTCTGGAAATTAGAAAGTACTGCTTTTTTTGCAGAGTATAACATCTACTTAAACTTTTTTTTTTTTATTTAGTAAAAAGTGTAATTTTGTCCACTATTTGTTTTCAGAGACTCCTCATGTTTTGCAAAGAGCTGTCTAAAAACAATTTACTGTAAAATGCTATCAGGGTGAGAATATAAAACTATGTCACACAGGTATTCGAAAGAAAACAAAATCGAGAAACAGGAAGTTACACTGCATTCTTTCACTGTTTATGTCAGAGGGAAGTCCTATAGATATATTTAGATATAAAGCAGTTCTTTGAACCATCCCGTCTGTGGAAATTTTACCATGGAGTGAAACATCGGAAACCACCTGCTACATTTTATTTTAAATGCATATAAAAGATTAAGCATATGACAGAACAGGTGACTGTTCACACTGTAAGCATCCATACTTTATTCATAGTTTGGTATTATTTTCGGGGAGAGGTGGGGTTTTCACCTGTCACCTCCCTGTACATCTCGGCTTAGCTCAAGGTAGAGAACATCCAGCTGTTACCTGGCAAACCACAGGTAAGTTATTAAACCATTAGCAAACAATTTGTCTAGTTACACTGGGAGGCTCTAGACTCTAGCGTAGGGGTCGGCAACCTTTTAGTATTAGTGTGCCAAAACAAGATCTTGAAGTCCTTTAGTGTGCCAGTACTATTTTATTTAAATTGAGGTGTGTATGTTGAAATATTCTGCTCTTATCATTTATGGGTGTTGTAGTTGCTTTGTAGTGGTATATTTGTGCGATGTGGGCTGTGATATTGCATATGTTCATGAGTAGTTTGTGGTGTTGTGTTTGATATCTATAAATAGGGGCTGCTTGTGTAATTGTGTATGTGGATGATATGTCACATTGTGTGTTTAGTGGTGTTTGCGTGTCGGACTGCTTGGGGTATTGTATGCGATAGGCTGCTTATGGGGTTGTGTATGTGGATTGTCAGTGGTATTGTGTTTGTGGGGACTGTGTGTGTGTTTGTATGTTGGCTATTTGTATGAGGGGTAGGGATGTGCATGGGAAAAAAATTTGGTTCGGGCTTCTGAAATTCGGGACTTCTGGACTTCGGTTCAGCACTTCCGCAATTCGGCACTTTGGTTCGGCTCTTCCAAAATCCGTGACTTCGGCAATTCAGGACTTCGGTTCGGCACTTTCGAAATTCGGCAATTTAGGACTTAGGCAAATCCGAATTGCCGAAATTAATCCGTATTTAAATTCGGACTGAAATTAATTGCACATGTCTAATGAGGGGGAAGCTTATGCTACAGCTCTGTGTATATCTAGCAGTGTGGGTGTTTTTTCTGGGGTCCAGTGGGGACCGGGCTGGCTAGCTACAGGTCAAGGGCTGTTGTGGGCTAATCTACTCCATTGTGGATTACCATTCACAAGAAGTGGGAGGAAGATCACTTCCTGTAAGCTGTAATGTATAAATGAGAATTGATCCTCACTACCTTTTTGTACTAGCAGATATCTGGAGTTCCACTGGGACTCCTGGTAGGCCCGAGCCTGTTTGGCTTTAGTATCTTTGAGTGCCATGCAAAGGTGCCAAAGGCACCGTGCTATAGGTTGCCTACCCCTCATAGATCTGACATATAACGGGAGATACAAACATATAAATTTAAGCCCTGCATTCAAACTCTGGGCGGCAGCAATGACACACATCACCTCCATGTTACAATGTTGCCACCCACCCAATATGTTCCCTATTAAGGCTTAATAAGTGTGTAGGGGTTTAGTAAAATACCCCTCTCTGTCTCTTTAGAGATTTTATCTATTAGCTGAAATCAGCAAGGTGAATTGTTAGTGTAGGACTTATCTAAAAGGTTGCATTGACATGGCAGATGATCGTACACTTGAATAGCCATTGGAGTGATGATAAAAAAAAAAACCTCCAGTTATTTAAATGTTCATGGAGATTTGGGATAGTGCGCATGTAACTTTTTTCCTTTGATTTTTAATGAAATGGGAGATATTGGTAAATTATTTTGAAGGGAGTTCTAACCTGTCATTGATCCTCCACAACAACAACAAAAATGGAAGAAAAAAAAGCATACAGTTTGGTAGCATATCATTACATCAGTTATGTTCAGCTAATTGTTTTGTTATAATAACCAAAAAGTGGACAGCACTAAAATAAATCTGCACAGTTTCAATATATATGTGTGTAACCCCTCCAGCAGCAATCAGCCACACAGTGAATACAATCGAAAACCAGAAACCGTGTTATGCTGATACTTAACAATGTAGAACAAAGTTCTAGAAAAATTGTAAAAAAAAAATCAACAACACATAGTGAAACCATCTGATATGATTTAAGTAAGGGGCATACACTTGAAAGCACATATGTAGAATATATTTGCATGTCCCAGAGCCTTATCAATTCTGGCTCTGGGTAACTGAGGCTTCTTGGAGAGGGAACAGATCCCACAAATAGATATGCAAAGTGGCGCTTAAAACTTCTTACCAAGAATGCACTGTATAGGAGACACTAGCAGGCACAGGAACCCACAATGGCACAGTATGAGAAATCCTTTTTTTTCCCACACAGATAAACGCCAATGGTGTTTTTAAAACTTTTGCATTTATATAGGTTTTCTGCTGTGTATTCCCACCTTTATGCAAGTAAGCATGATTTTATCGTGTGAAAATAAAAGATTTTAGGGGTCCAAAAAAAATAATCTGCATTCAGGCGTCTGTGACCCTAGGATCGGCCCTGGTGGAGAAGGTGGGGCTGAAGCTTTGTAGTAAAGTATATAGGCAACAAGCTGGAAAATATTTATTGAAAAAAGTTAAATGTGTGTACTTTTGTCTGTGCAGTTGCCCCTCTTGCTTTCTATGAACTGTCTGACAGACCAAAATAGGCAATAGCAGAGAGACTTGTCTGACTAAATGGCTGACATTACAGTAATACTGATGTGTAACTATTAATATTACATTATCACACATTAGATCACACATAGTCTGTTCTTCCTGCTCTTCACTGCTCGTGCACACCCTCTGTGGTGATTCCGGTTGCCGGAATATGACGTCATTCCGGCCCGGCATCACCAAACTGTGCGCACGGGCAGTGAGGAGCAGGAAGAGAGAACTCAGGAAGAGGCCCCACACCAGCTTCCAAAGGTAGGGAGCAATCAGCCATAAATAAAATGATTTGTGTGTGTGTGTCTGTCAGTCAGTGAGTGAGTGTGTCGGTCAGTGTTGCGATGGCCGTGGCTGGACAGTGGAGGACCTGGAGGTGCACATAGGCAATCAACGCCATGTCACATTCCGACGTGACATCAACGTGCTCCACCTTCACAGGGATTTAGGAGTAGCGGGAGGATCCGCTTTGGCACAGGGTGCGGACGGCGCCATTGGAGGTATACCAGGGACGCATACTGGCAGCGGCAATGTGAGTGGAGTCTGCTTGTTGGCTAATATTGGGGGCTTCACAGGGGCTGGGGTTTAGTAGAGGGGGCGGGGACCTGGGTGATTTAGTAGAGGGGGGGCTGGGGCTTAGTAGAGGGGGCGGGACCGTGGGATTTTAATAGAGGGAGTGGGCTGGGGTTTGTGGTGAGGGGAGACTGGGGTTTAGTAGAGGGGGGGCTGGGACTTAGTAGAGGGGAGACTGGGATTTAGTAGGAGGGGGAGACTGGACGAAGTAGAGGGGAGACTGGTTTTAGAAAAGGGCGGCTGGGGTTTAGTAGAGGGGGACTGGGATTTAGCAGAGGGAAAGAGACTGGGATTTAGTAGAGAGGGAGAGACCGGGGGCCTAGCAGGGGACTGTGGGTTTGTGTGAGGGAGGGACTGGGCTCCCAGGGGACTGGGATTTTAGGTGGTGAGGGGGGGAGACTGGGGCTTGTGAGGGGACTGGGACTTAGTAGAGGGAGACCTGGTGTTGGCAGCAGGGACTGGAGTTTAGTAGAGGGGGGAGACTGGGATGTAGTAGAGGGAGGGACTAGAATTCTAGTGAGGGGACTGGGACTTATAGAGGGGGGGGACTGGAATTTTAGTAGAGGGAGACTGGGGTTTGTGTAGGAGGGACTGGGATTTAGTAGTGAGGGGGAGGACTGGTGCTTAGTAGCAGGGGGAGACTGGGGTTTAGTGGAGGGGAGACTGGGGTTTAGTAGAGGGGGAGACTGAGGTTTAGTAGAAGGGGGAACTGAGATTTAGTAGAGGGGGAGACTGGGGTTTAGTAGCGGGGGGAGACTGGGGTTTAGTAGAGGGGAGACTGGGGTTTAGAAAAGGGGGGGCTGGGGCTTAGGTAGAGGGGACTGGACTTAGTAGAGTGGAGAACTGGGGTTTAGTAGAGTGTGGCACTGGGATTTAGCAGGGAGTGGACTGGGACTTAGTGCAGGAGGGAGGGACTGGACGAGTAGAGGGGACTGGATGGGCAGAGGGGAGACTGGGGGTTTAGTAGAGGGACCAGACTAGTAGAGGGGAGACTGGTGCCTAGTAGCAGGGGAGACTGGGGTTTGTGTGTGGAGGGGAGACTGGGGCTCTAGTAGAGGGGAGACTGGGCTGGGGTTTAGTGGTGAGGGGACTGGAGCTTAGTAGAGGGGGAGACTGCTCTAGTGGAGGGAGACTGGGGCTCTAGTAGAGGGGACTGGAGCCTAGCAGAGGAGACTGGGGCTTAGCAGAAGGGGAACCGAGATTTAGTAGAGGGGGAACTGAGATCAGCAGAGGGGACTGGGGCTCTAGTGGAGGAGGGACTGGGATTTAGTAGCTGGGGAGACTGGGGTTTAGTAGCTGGGGAGACTGGGGTTTAGTAGAGGGGAGACTGGGGGCTTCAGTAGAGGGGATTAGATTCTTAGTAGAGGGAAGACTGGGGTTTAGTAGAGGGGACAGGGATTTAGAAGAGAGGGGAGACTGGGGTTTTAGTAGCGGGGGGAGACTGGGGTTTAGTAGCGAGGAGAATACTGGGGTTTAGTAGAGGGGGAGACTGGGATTTAGTAGAGGGGACTGGGATTTAACAGAGGGGAAGACTTGGGTTTAGTAGAGGGGGGATTGGGATTTAGTAGAGGGGAAGACTGAGGTTTAGTAGAGGGGGAGACTGGGGTTTAGTAGAGGGGGGACTGGGGTTTAGTAGAAGGTGAGACTGGGGTTTAGTAGAGGAGACTGGGGTTTAGTAGAGTGAGACTGGGGTTTAGTAGGGGGACTCAAACGGGGTAGAGGGGAGGACTAGGATTTAGTGAGGGGAGACTGGGGCTCTAGTAGGGGAATTGGGACCTAGTAGAGGGGGACTGGGGGTTTGTGCAGGAGGTGCCACTGGGGTTTAGTGCAGAGGAGAGATCAGTTTGTGCAGAGGAGACTGGGGTTTAAAGTGGAGGGGAGACTGGGGCTTCAGTAGGGGGACTGGGGCTCTAGGCAGGAGGGGGGACTGGAGTTTAGTAGAGGGGAGACTGGGAGTTTTAGTAGAGAGGGGGAGACTGGGATGTGCAGAGGGGGGCACGGGGTTTAGCAGAGGGGGGGACTGGAGTTTAGTAGGAGGGGAGACCTGGTTTTGTAGGAGGGGGTACTGGAGCTTAGTAGAGGGGACTGGGACTCTAATAGAGGGGAGCCTGGGGTTTAGTAGAGGGGAGACTGGGATGTAGTAGGAGGGGACTGGGATTTAGTAGAGGGGGGGGACTGGGCTTGGCAGAGGGGAGATTGGGGCCAGTGGAGGGGAGACTGGGGTTTAGTAGAGGGGACTGGGATTTAGTAGAGGGGGAGACTGGTGTTAAGTAGCAGGGGGGACTGGAGTTTAGTAGAGGGGGAGACTGGGGTTTAGTAGAGGGGGAGACTGGGGTTTAGTGGAGGGAGGACTGGGATTTAGTAGAGGGGGGACTGGGATTTAATAGAGGGGGAGACTGAGGTTTAGTAGAGGGGGGACTGGGGTTTAGTAGAGGGGGATTTTTTTTTTTTATATACTGAACTTTTCAAAATAAACCTACATTTCTACAAAAAAATTGTTTTTACATGAACTTGAACCTTGTTTATTTGGCTGGGGCTAGCCTTTGAGTTTGACATTCTTGCTGTGCATTTGCAGTTTGCCTGCTTGTAGAGCCCAGCATTGCGCCATCTGTTGGTTGCTATGTGTAATGTTTACTTTCCCCAAGTCTTATGAATGTTGCTTCCTCTTCCCAAGGGTTCGAACTCCTCCCAATTGTCTGTAAATACGCTGCATGCTTCCTGGTACTGTCATTGTCACCTACTACTGATAATGTGTGTTTAGGTAAGATAAGAGATATCATTGACAGAGGTATGCATCATACCTGCAGGAGAGAATGATCAGAGTTGCAGTCCATGTAAGTATCCTAAACTCACAGGAGCTGTGAGTGAACTTGTAAAACTTTATTGGATAGCAATGTGTGAGGCTTTATAGCTGGCATGTCAGCTATTCTATTGAATTTACTAGAATATCTTGTTACTTTAACTAGTGTAGCCAGATCTAAATATGGCCATCTAACACTATAACTGTATCAATAAGATTTCATTCCTTAAATTGCATCTGTTTTTATATAGAACATTTTAAGAGGAGTTGGCTAGCAGGGTACCCTTTGTGGTAATGGTGGGGGGTCTATAATAAAATGGGCTTTATTCTATAGTCAATCTCTGAACGACATCACAGCACTGTGCAGACATCATGCAATCAAGCAGTGATATTTATTAAAGTGAGAATTCAAAGTGAATTACAAAATTAAGGCCAAAGTAGCTGAGCTGGAAACATAGTTGGTTTAGACAGTTTCCACTTTCGAATTCTCACTTTAAGGATTAACCCTGACCGTGTAGGAATTTACTCCTAGCCTGCCCCTTGCTACATTCAACAGTGTTCAGCAGATAATAAGGTGTCACTTTGTGGATTGAAACCATAGATTAATCTAATTTATTCTTGTCATGGGATTTTTTATGTAATCCGTTAAACCAGGGCGGTCCAACCTGCGGCCCCCAAGATTTAAATGCTCATATACACCAAAAATGATGCAGTTTTATTTAATGTGGAACTCTGGGTATATCCTCAAACACAGAACATGGTTCCATCAAGGTTACTGACTTTTAGTGAATTATTCCAGTTTAATTGTTTGTGCCTCAATAATGCCAGTTGGATTTAATTTGTTAAAATTCAGTGTTCAGGAAATAACCCAGTGTGAGTTTTATAGCTGAGGAGCTTTGTGTTTATAAAGATACACAATGCACAGCACATTATTATTGTGAGATTTATTATACAATCACTGGGCAATTCTTATTCACTAAAGTAAGAAATTAAAGTAAACTTCAAATTTTAGGCCAAAGTAGCTGAACTGGCACCAGAGATGACTTAGGCAATTTTTCCAATTTGGCTATTTTGGACTTATATCTAAATTCTCACTTTTGCGAATCCACTCTTTGTGTGGGAGAAATCCCGCCTAAAGCTGTACATGGTATGGCCAATGAATGGGTTTCAGGATTTTTATATTGTGGCTCGAATGCCCAGTTACAACAGCATTCCTAAATGGTACTTGGTGCCACACTTTAATGATTATATTATAACTCTGTGTTTGACTGTTAATTATCTTTCTAAACACAATATGGTTTTCTAGAAATAAAAGAAAGGGCACATTGCTGACAGGATGTTCTCTCACTGGAATTTTATCCTGCTGTTCGCACAACTTACCACCACACTAGCATTTCCAAAAGTGCAAAAAATCAACGAACGACCCATTATTGGTAAGGTGTAACTATTAATATTATTTACAGATAGCTTATATATGATAGGTGTATTGTGATGTTTACCCAGTCATATTACAATTTTTTAAATGAATGGCCTTATTAGTTGTGACTATTTGTGTACTTAGAATGTTATATTTTGCAGTACATTAGCATTAAAATGGTTAAAGGAAACCAAGAGACAGAAATCAATCCCCTGGTTTTTCAATACACTATATAGCTGATGTATATAAAAAAAATAGATATTTACCATCAACGTTGTCTAGCTGCACTACTGAGGTAGACTGACTGCATCTATAGACAAGAATAGATAGGTCTATCAAGTGAGAATTCAGATTTAATTTAAAGGGACACTAAAGTCACCAAAACAGCTTAATGAAGCCGTTTTGGTGTATAGATCATGTCCCTACAGTCTCACTGCTCAATTCTCTGCCATTTAGGAGTTGTGTCACTTTGTTTATGCAGCCCAAATCACACCTTCCTATATGTGACTTGCACAGCCTTCCTAAACACTTCCTGGAGAGTCATCTAATGTTTATCCTTCCTTTATTGCAAATTCTGTTCAATTTAAAAAACATCTTATCTCCTGCACAGTTAATATCTTGCTAGACCCTGCAGAAGCCTTCTGTATGTAATTAAATTAAAGCAGGAGATAAAAACTTTTAAAGTAAGTTACATCTGATTGAAAGTGAAACCATTTTTATTCATGCAGACTGTGTCACTCACAATCAGGAGAGGTGTGGCTAGGGCTGCATGGACAGGAACAGAAGTGATGTAACTCATAAATGGCAGAGAATTGAGCAGTGAAACTTCAGAATCATTATCTATACACCAAACCTGTTTCAGTAATCTAAAGTTGTATTGGTGACTATAGTGTCCCTTTAAGCGTGAAAAAGACAAACTGGAACTATTCTCTTATCTGCTATGCTTTACCTTACATTTGAAATTCACTTTGTATTCTCACTTTAGTAAATAAATCTGTATGTGATTAGATTTTATGTCATAAACTCTTGTCAAGCAGGATCTATGGGTGCTTGTGAGCTTCTATGTGTGTCTTTGTTTGTTTTATTTCTATGAACATTTATATAATTAGGTGATTAGACTGTAAGTTATAGCCACTCCAGGCTATGCATTAATTGAGATCTCTGAACAAGTTTTGCATAATGAATTTTTATGAAAATGTTTATCTGTTTCAGGAATCTTAGCACAAGAAGTTACTGATAAAGTCTTCTTCCCATTTGGTAAAACATACATTGCAGACTCGTATGTTCACTTTCTGGAATCAGCTGGCTGTCGGGTTGCACCAATCCGGTGAGCATAAAATACACAAATATATCCATCCATCTCTTTTTTTTCATCTATATATTTAACCCCTTAAACGACCTAGGACGGTTAGGACCGTCATCTGCATTTTTGCGTTGCCAACCGCTGACGGTCTTGAACCGTCCTAACGGTCCAATGTACTTACCCGATCGCCATCGTTCCCCCAGCGGCGATCAGCGGTGCTCCCGGTGTGGGGAGACTGCCTGCAGCCCAGACAGTCTCCCCATGGCTGATTAGGACCCCTGGGGCCATGTGATCGCTCAACAGAGCGGTCACATGGTCACAATAGGTGTTCTAGTGTCTGCCTGCAGGGGGACTGTCTGTGCTGACAGGCAGTCTGCCTGCAGGGGGACTGTCTGTGCTGACAGGCAGTCTCCCTGCATGTGTAAAATGAAATTTAAAAAAATAACTGTTAATGTTAATTAAAATAAAAAATAAAAAATAAATATATATATATATATATATATATATATATATATCTCATGTCATATTAAGTGTATTTTTATATTAATATGTACTTATATTAATATAAAAATACACGTATAATTAAATTACACATGTGTGTATATATATAATAACTATATATATTGTGTGTGTGTGTGTATGTATATATATATATATATATATATATATATATATTATAAAATACAAATAATAAGTAAATTAAATTAAAAAAATTAAAAATAATAATACAAATTTAAATAAAATTATATATGAAATTTTATCCTAACTGTATTTTGATATTAAAATATATATATTTATATCAAAATACACTTAGAATGAAATTGTATATATATCTATGGATATATAAATAAATAAAAATAATCCGAAATATACATATGTCCATGTGCAAAATTACATAAATAATTATATAAATATACACGTAGACTTCAAATATATAAATATGCATATGTATTTAAATTCTACGTGCATATTTATGTAATATTTTTACATAATTAAGTAATTTTATTAATTGCAATTTGAGGGACCTGCCAACCCAGGCCAAAAGTCCAGAGAATTTAATTTGCTAGCACCGTATTTTACCTTGTAACTTTCTATGACACCCTAAAACCTGTACATGGGGGGTACTGTTTTACTCGGGAGACTTCAATGAACACAAATATTAGTGATTCAAACAGCACTTTTACTGATGATATAATTGTTGTGATACATATTCCTGTTTTGAAACACTAATATTTGTGTTCAGCAAAGTCTCCCGCGTATAACAGTCCCCCCATGTACAGATTTTATAGCGTTTTTGAATGTTACAGGGTCAAATATATGGTTCAAATATTTTTACATTGAAAATGGCCAGGTTGGTTATGTTGCCTTTGAGAGTGTATGGTAGCCCAGGAATGAGAATTACCCCCGTGATGGCATACCATTTGCAAAAGAAGACAACCCAAGGTATTGCAAATGGGGTATGTCCAGTCTTTTTTAGTAGCCACTTAGTCACAAACACAGGCCGAAATTAGCGTTCAATTTAGTTTTTTACTTTTTTCACACACAAACAAATATGAACGCTAACTTTGGCCAGTGTTTGCGACTAGGTGGCTACTAAAAAAGACTGGACATACCCTATATTGAATATCCTGGGTTGTCTACTTTAAAAAAAATATGTACATGTGGGGTGTTATTCAGAGATTTATGACAGATAATAGTGTTGCAATGTCACTATTGATAAATTTGAAAAAAAATTTGTTTTGAAACCGCAATATCCTACTTGTACCTATAGCCCTATAACTTGCAAAAAAGCATGTAAACACTGGGTATTTTTAAACTCAGGACAAAATTTTGAATCTATTTAGCAGTTCTTTTTCATTCGCTCTTGTAGATGAGTAAAAGATTTTTCAAATAAAAGTCAAAAAACATGTATTTTTTTTCCAATTTTTCATCATATTTTTATTAAATTACATGAGATTATATAAATAATGGTGTGTAAAGAAAGCCTTTTTTGTCCTGAAAAAAACAATATATAATTTGTATGGGAACAGTAAATGAGAGAGCGGAAAATTGCAGCTAAACACAAACACCACAAAAGTGTAAAAAGAGGCCTGGTCGCAAATGTACAACATCGCAAAAACAGTCCGGTCCTTAAGGGGTTAAATACATGTTTTTTTGTTTTTTTTTGTGTGTGTGTGTTATGTAAATACATTTATCAATTTTAATAGCTGCATAGGTGACAAGACCTCTTTCTGAATTGCATTGTATGAATTGATCATTCATGCAGTGAAAGATCAGACATTGTGTTTCTGTATAGCAATATTTGTTTTGTCTTTGTCTAGTCATTCATGTAAGTGCCTGTTTGCCCATTTTGGTAACTTGTGATGGTGGGTCTGGGTGATGTTATACATTTAGACGTGTAGCGGGAATCTGAGTTTAATTGCAAACAGGTAGGACTAGTGATGTCTAGGTAGGAGCTTAGGGTATATATAGCGTGCTGCACTGATTGCTTCTTTAATTAATTAGGACAATGAAAGATCCATGAAAGAGGTGGATTGTCTTGGTTCTCCCTTCCGCACGAGTCAGTCCAAGAACGAATGCACCGAGGCCAGGGTACATGTAAAACATACTGGCACATTATTTATTATTATCATTTATATAGCGCCAACTTATTCCGCAGCGCTGTACAATATTATAAAGAGAACATTTTACAATAAATGAGACAATTTTAAAATGTTACTGGAACAATAGGTTGATGAGGAGCCTGCTCAAATGAGCTTACATTGATTGCTTTAGGCTTGTTTTAGATATAAGGTAGTGTCATTATACATTAGTACTTTGTACTGACTTCTCCCACCATTCCACTAATTGCAAGTAAAACCGTTCCACTTTAAAGCCTTAAGGACACAACTTCTGGAATAAAAGGGAATCATGATGGAATATTTCCGTCATGTGTCCTTAAAGGACCACTCTAGGCACCCAGACCACTTCAGCTTAATGAAGTGGTCTGGGTGCCAGGTCCCTCTAGGATTAACCCTTTTTTTTATAAACATAGCAGTTTCAGAGAAACTGCTATGTTTATAATAGGGTTAATCCAGTCTCTAAAGCCTCTAGTGGCCGCTAGAGGCGTTTGCGTGCTTCTCACTGTGAAAATCACAGTGAGAAGACGCCAGCGTCCATAGGAAAGCATTGTAAATGCTTTCCTATGAGACTGGCTGAATGCGCGCGCGCAGCTCCTGCTGCGCTTGCGCATTCAGCCGAGGAGGCGGAGAGGAGGAGGAGAGCTCCCCGCCCAGCGCTGGAAAAAAGGTAAAAAAGGTAAGTTTAACCCCTTTCCTCGCCATCCAGCCCTGAGGGGGCACCCTCAGGGCACTATAGTGCCAGGAAAACGAGTATGTTTTCCTGGCACTATAGTGGTCCTTTAAGGGGTTAAAGCCAGGTGCCATGTTTGGCATGGTATATTGAATACTCTATCTTTAAGGTTCACTACCTTTCAGAAATGACAACATAGCCCTCTGTAAGTAATAAACTTTCAGATATACACTGCTTGTCAAATGACTAGTGATGTATAAGCAGCATTTTATATTTCGAATACATATCCATGTCATCAGTGCAGCTATGGCTGTTGGGAAGTGAAGGAGATTGAATCGTTAATGGAATTTAATGGATCTATACTGAATGTCCAACCACATTGCTTGGTTTATTGGTCTAGCCACTGAGATGTAGAAATACAATGGTCTACTTATTGATTACCATAGCCCTTAAGTGTGTCTCCGGATCACTCCTATCCTGTAATAATAAATATTTCCTCCAATATATTTCAGATTAAATTTGAATGAAGACGAATATGTAAAGATTTTCAAGTCTATCAATGGGTAAGTTGCACACACGTCTTTTAAATATCATCCTATTTTAAGGTTTTATCTCTTAATATGCATAAAACAACCTATTTATGTTTCTACACAGCAATATATAATGTCTCTATGTCCAGCTCTGTAAATGGTAGACTGTATAAAATAACGAAAAACGTAGATGGAGGGGGACAAAGAAAAATAGAAAATGTGGCAAAGGGTAGTTTTGGTGTAAAGAGCCTGTCTCAGCACCCTCTCCTTTGTAATTGCTGCCTTTTATTTGATAAGGCAGTGTTTACATGTATCCATAAGAAACCCACTAGTGACTGGCACCCAGATAACCACAAGAGTTGCTTCCTCCTTGCAGTCACTCTGGTTCAAAGAGGTTCCCTGTCTCTGTCACCTGCATATATGTATTCATGATGAAAGTTAACAAAACACTTCAGCTATAATCCTATCACCTGAACGACATGTCCAACAGAAGCGTCATAGTAGTAGGCCATTTCCTTTGGTTGCGGCCAAGTATACGCGCGATAGAATTATGAATTAAAGTGACACTATAGTCACCAATACAACTTTAGCTTAATGGAGCAGTTTTAATGTATACATCAAGACTCCAAGGTTTCACTACTCAATTTAGGTGTTAAATCACTTTTGTTTCTGTCCATGCAGCCCTGACTGTGACTCACAATGCCTGTTTAGAAAACAATTTGTTTCATTTTCAATCAGATGTTAACTTGCTTTAGAAGTTTTCATGTCTTGCTCTGTAAATTGAATTGTAATCACACTACAGGAGGCTCCTGCAAGATCTAGAAATCTAACACTTAAACACACTGTGCAATAAAGGAAGTATAAATGTTAGATCTCATTAGATCAGGAAGTTTTTAAGAAGGCTGTGCAGTCACATGCAGGGGGTGTGACTAGGGCTGCATAAACAAAGTGATTTAACTCCTAAATGGCAGAGAATTGAACAGTGAGACTGCAGGAGCATGATCTGTACACTAAAACAGTTTCTTTAAAGGAACACTAAAGTGTCAGGAATACAAATGTTTAAAATAGATGTTTAGGTTCCCAGCCCCTCTTGCCCCCTGTTAAAAAGGTCATTACATACCTATTTTCAGCACCATGTGAGTCTCCTCGCTGTTGGCCACACTACCGCTTCGCCTCCTTGGCTGAGATCGTCAAGATTTACAACCTCTGCCAATCCAATGCTTTCCAATAGAAAAACATTGGCAGGCTGTTGTGCATGCGCGCCAAAACACCAACCTGCGTAATTCAGCATCTCCTCACAGAGATGCATTGAATCAGTGCATCTCTATGAGGAACATTCAGCGCCTCCATTCTCTGTAAAGACCGTGTTTACATTAAAAAGCCTGTAAGGCTTGGCAGTAGACTCCAGAACAACTACATTAAGCTGTAGTGGTTCTGGTGACTATAGTGTCCCTTTAAGATATCAATGGAGTTTTGGTAGCCGTGACTGCTATGAGCTTAGGCAGCAGATTACTTTATCTTCATTTATCTTTTTAATAACAATTGTGGGAACATCATGATTGACTCAGACAGTTGCGAGTTGGGAGACACTGGGAGTTCCTCTGTTTTTTTAATTTTATATTTATTTTGTTTTCACATTTATAAACTATATAATGCAAGATAATGTGGATGAACGCCAGCCTTTTAATATGTTGATAATTTACTATTTCTCGTTTATTTAGGGGAGACCTCTTGTTTTCTGATGTATTTTCTGGCAGTTTTATTGAATTCATATAAATACTAATGTAAATGTTTTCTGGGTTTTACATTTCCCAAGTGTCCTATTTCCCGGAGGAGCTGCTGATCTCCTGACTTCCGACTTTGCAAGAACAGCAAAAATATTTTACAAACTGGCTATTGAGGTGAGCACTTGAATGGAGGCTAAATATTACGCAATGCAATTTAAACTATGTTTCTGGCAAGTCCCTGCTTGCTAACTTCTCAGCAATTTGCATAAGTGAAGAATATTTTATATTCAGGTATAATTTAACTGAAAACACATCTTCTTAGAGTTCTGACTTATAGTATTGAGGGAATGGTGCGGGCTAAGAAATAACTTGGAGTGTTCTCATATGTTTATATGGTAATTTAACCTAATATAATATTCTATCAGATTAATGACGATAGATAAAATATAGCCAGATTAGCTTTATAAAACCACAATGCCTTTATCCCTTCAATTTACTCAAAACTGCTTTAAATGACCTCCTCCCTTGGGCTTTCACAGTGGGCTAAGTCCCCCACCCATGTAGCTGGCAATACTCTTGATCCTATTTTCTGTCATGAATGTACAATCTCTAATCTCTGCAACACTCCAATTCCTCTCTCAGATCACCACCTGTTATAATTTGCTCTCAATAGCCCTCTACCCCATCATCCTCAATCTAACCCCCTTCAACTAAGAAGAAATCTGAATTCTATTGACCTCCAGCAGCTGTCAGCTAATATTGATTCCCAACTTCTATCCATCCCTACTTTCTCCATTCCCTTACTGGCTATCTCATATAACACTACCCTCACCTTTGCCCTGGATTCTGCAGCCCCGCTCCAAACATGCACCTTGAGGAAGACACGCCCCCAACCTTGGCACACTAAATTAACACGCTACTTGCAGAGATGCTCCCATTCTGCTGAACGCTGCTGGAGGAAGTCACGCACCCAGTCTGACTTCCTCCACTACAAATTCATGTTGCACAGCCCTTGCCCTCGCCAAACAGTCATACTTTCCTCATACTTTAGCTCATGCTCCCGCAATTCCAGATGTCCTTTTAATACCTTTAACTCTCTTCTTTGCCCTGCTGTGGCTACCCCCCCCTAAACTAACCTTACAACCGATAGCTTTGCATGCTAATTTACCAACAAGATTGAACAGCTAAGGAAAGAATTCTCCCCTCCTTGCTGTTCTCTTTCTCAACCACACGTAGATCATGCCTTTCCTACCCTTTAGACTTTCTCCCCAGCTACCGAACAAGAGGTGGCTGCGCTTCTCCTTTCCTCTTGACCCACCACTTGCCCGCTTGATCCTGTCCCGTCTCACCTTATCAGATCTCTCTCCTCGTGTGTTGTGCCTTCCTTAACACTCATCATCAACTGCTCTCTCTCTCTCTTCTGGTGTTGTCCCTGCTGCCCTTAAACATGCTACTGTAGAACCCATCTTAAAAAAACCAAAAAACATCTCTTGACCCGTCCTCCCCTTCTAACTATTGTCCGATACACCTGCTCCCTTTTTCCTCAAAGCTTCTGGAAAGACTTGTCTTTACCCGTCTGACTTGCTTCCTCAATTCAAACTCTCTTCTTTACACTTTTCAGTCTGCCTTTTGCCCCCTCCACTCTACTGAGATTGCTCTTATTAAAGTCACTAACAACCTAATCGCAGCTAAATCCAAAGGGCACTACTCTATACTAATTCTTCTTGACCTCTCTGCTGCCTTTGACACTGTTGACCATGTTCTCCTTCTCCAAACTCTTCAATCACTCGGTCTCTGTGACACTGTCCTCTCTTTGTTTTCCTCCTATCTCTCCCAACGCTCATTTAGTGTCTCCTTTTCTAATGATACCTCCTCCCTTCATCCTGCCTCTGTTGGAGTCCCCCAAAGCTCTGTGCTTGGTCCCCTTCTATTTTCTCTTTATACTGCCTCTCTTGGCAAACTTATTACCTCATTTGGATCCCAATGCCACCTGTACGCTGATGGCACTCAGATATACCTCTCCTCCCCGGACCTCTCCCCTGCCGTCCTGCAACATGTCACTGCCTTTCTTCCATCTCTGATTGGATGTCCTACCACTTTTTGAAACGCAATCTCTCTAAAACTGAACTCCTTTTCATCCCCCTCTTTAGCTCTCCCTTCAAGTGAGTGGTACCGACATCAGTCCATCCTTGTAAGTGTGCTATCTTGGTGTTATACTTTATTCTGGCCTCACGTTTGAGCCTCACATCCAGTCTGTTACCAAATCCTGTAGATTCCACCTTAAAAACATAGCCCGCATCCGCCCCTTTCTTACACAAGATGCTACTAAGGAGCTTGTCCGTGCTCTAGTAATCTCTTGCATGGATTATTGTAACTCTCTCCTAATAGGTCTTCCCACAAGTCGTATTGCCCGGCTACAGTCTGTAATGAATGCTGCAGCTATACTTTTTTTCCTCTCCTGTCGCTCCTCTCACACCTCTCCCCTCTGTCAGTCACTGACCAATTCTACCCCCTCCTATATTTCTTCACTGATCCACAGGTATGCCCCTTCTCGGTCTCTCTGCTTTGCCTTCTACTGTCTGCTGCTCGCACCCGTACAGCCAACTCACGTTTGCAGGACTTCTCGCGGGTTGCTCCTTTCCTATGGAATAGCCTGCCTACCCCCATCAAGCTCTCCCCTAGTCTTCAATCATTTAAAAAGTGCCTCAAAACCCATCTCTTTAGGAAAGCTTATGGCCTCCCAGAGTAACCTCTGCCTCACATACCTGTCTCTTGCTCTCTCCTAAAGAGCAGCACTCTATTCTCTCCTCCAGCTCTGCTTCACTCCACCTTGTTTGATTGCTACGTCCTGTCCTGTTGTGTTTTATACCCCACCTCCTATAGACTGTAAGCTTGTTTTAGAGAAAGGTTCCTCATCAACCTATTGTTCCTGTAAGTTTTTGTAATTATCTCATTTATTGTTAAATCTCCCCCTCTGATAATATTGTAAAGCTCTAAGGAATATCCTATCGCTATATAAATACCAGTAATAATAATCATAAACGTGCCAGGCATATAGAATGACATACATATACAATAACCATCCTGAATTCCTGATTCAAAGTGTAACAATTAGCTGAACATTTCATTGATTACAATAGTGATTTCCCCAGCATGTCCTTTAATGCCCAGTGTTCCTATTTACACTTACTCATGCACTATGCTCTATACTAAACTTTAATTTTGTGTATAGGACTTTGCTGATGTACACCTGTCATACGATAACTGACAAAGACGCTAAGCTCCTGTGTTCTGAGACACGCACAGATTAGACTGATTGAGTTCTGAAATACTACAAACTTCTAACAAGTTGCTGAGCCCATAAATAATTCAAAAGTCTAATAGCATTATGTATATCATAAATAAAACTATTAATAAAACGAACAAAAAAAGTTTTGCAATGTTAGATTTTCTTAGGGGTGTATGCAACAGAAGACAAAATCAACCAATCATTGACTTTCTGTGCAAAAAGTATCATCATTCATATAACATTATGTATTGCTGTTAGTCTACTGCGCATGTATAGCACGGCTTATCTTAAATCTGCAGTCTGAGTATCTCTGTGTCAATTTGACCTATGAGAATAAAAAGGGAGTTGCTGCTTGTAACAGATAGCAGACAAAGAGAAAATTCTTGCTTTTAACCCCTGCAGACGTGGAAAGACTTAACTAGGACAAAGGCTTTTAACCCTTTTATTTACCTCTCTCTATGACAAGTCCCCTTTTCTGACACTGCAGGAGAGAGGGTGAGGCAAGGTATATCCAGATGTACAAATTACACCTGTGGGACTTTAATTAGTGCTTCATCTCTATTCCCTTGCCGTCACACAACCACAGAACCATCAAGAAAGAACTGTCCAGATATTTCTAGATACTGGATAATATATACGTCTCATTATGCAATACATCCATAAGTTAATATATATATATCTTTATATAGCTCTGTATGTCTAGGGGAATATTCACTAAGCATTGCATAGGTAAAACAATTCATTTCCCATCAGATCCACCGCATCCCTTGTTTGCTATATGTTTATCTATTATAACTTCATATTTTTCCTTTTTTTTTTTTTTACTCTTCCCAGGCAACTTCCTCTGGTAATTATTTTCCAGTTTGGGGGACCTGTATGGGATTCCAAATTCTTACCGCACTCACCTCTGGGGAGGATTTACTAAGCGCCACATCTGCCGATAATATCTCATTACCACTTCAGCTGATTAATGGTAAGCAGTATATCCTGCACTAAACAACTCTTCACATCAGTTACGTTCAAATAATAAAGTTTTACAGAGAGAATACTGCGGACAGTAATAATTGGGTGCTGAAGATCTTTCTAGTGACCACTCTGATGGCCTTAGTTAAAAATTCTAATTTACATTAATCTCTCTAGAGGCTATGGGAAAAAAAGAGAAATCGTACTGTAGACAGCCCCTAAATTATGGAAGAACTGAAATAAATGAGAAATTAAACCAAACCAGTCTAAGTGAGCCTGCTCAGTGTATTCATGCCTAGACAGTGAAACTGATGATTTGGTTAATGCAATAATTGCAAACTCTACTGAAACTTCAAGATTATAACTTTTATTCTACGCAGGGTCAACTCTGTCTATGAGTTTGATACAATAATACCATGTATTTATCAGACACTTGGCAAAAAAATACAACAGCATTCCAACACTCTTCTCTCCTTTATGTAGGCATCACGCTCAAACAACATTTTGGCCTCACACTGGGCCTTTGTCAAACTTAAAGAAGCTCTGTAACCTTCGGGGTCTTAGCATAATTTACAGATACCCCAATGGTTACTTTACTGCTTGGTGTGCTGTGGCCACACGGTGCAGGGAATGCAAATTTGACCTATCTGATGCTGTATCTCTAGGCAGCCGTTACCTGCATCCGTTGAATCCTCTTCTGCTCCTTGGCCTTCATTTGCTAGGAGCCCACATCAGTGCTGTACTCTTGTGCACGTCTGAGAGTGCTAAACTGAGGTCAAAGGAGGTTCCCACGAGACCCTCAGTAGATTCACAATGAGCAAAACAATGCCTTATTCCTTGCTAGAGATGGCTGGTAGAAGTGACAAAACTTGACAAATACACCACCACCTTTTTGTCAAGCAGAGGAAAAAGACTAAAGGCAAAGTGGGCCCTACTTTACCTTATGTATTTTAGTAGATAAGATTGAAAAATAAAAAGAATTACACATTAGAAGTGAGGAAGAGAAGAGGAACAGACTTAAGCAAAATAAGTATAGGCCGACAGACGCTTTAACCCTGAATTAGAGGTTTCCTTTTATTGAAGTTACTTGGTTATGTGTACCCTGCCAAGGGCAAGAGATGTGAGTGCTCACCCTACTTTATATATTTTAAATCTGCACATCTGATGTTTTGTTAACACCTTAAAGGAACACTTTAGTGTTAGAAATACGAAGATGTATTCATAACACTATAGTGTCCCTCTGCATCCATGGCCCTCCGGTCCCTGAAAGGATTAAAAACCCTTTTTTTCACTTACCTGATTCCAATGCACTTCTCCTCCACCAATGTCAGCCGATGGGGGAAAACGAATGCACATGTGCGGCGAGTAGGAAAGCATTGACTTTCCTGTGATGAAGTGGTCTGGATGCCTACAGTTTCCCTTTAACTGTGAACAATGTGCAGATCTTATGTAAAACCATAAATTACAAAAACACACATGGCACAACAGCAAGTATATTTGAAAGTTGATGTCAAGGTCAGACTCATGTTAAGTCTGAACTTTTGCTATGTATGCATTTTAACATAACCTGTACTGTTTTTTTTGTATGGAAGCCTTTATGTTTGATGAACAGAATTTTGTTACTGAGCTTTTAAGATTAGTGTCCATAGGGATTGTATCTATCACTTTGTGTACTCTGATCTAGATATCTCCTCCAGCAAAATGTTCCAAAGTGCTTCTCCGGAATTATTGCAGGCCCTGAGCCATGAAAATATAACCGCAAACTTCCACCATTTTGGGATTACACCGGAGGTAAGAAACACTAGGCAGAAATAAGACTTTCTAAACAATAGAATAGGGTTACGCTGTATAAATTATATAGGTAGTCTTTATGGTGTAATAGCAGGAATATTTTAAAATACAGGAACATTTCAACTTTCCTAGTATTAATACTGTTCCCCATGATTATGAAATTTGGTGAACATGCATTTTGAACAACTTTATATTCTACTTGTCAGCTGTGAATGCACAACACCAGCAAGTGTTTTTGTGAACGTTTAAAATGAATTTTAGTAATTTTCTTTAGTTTTGCGAGAATGCAGGTGCTTTTTTGATAAAAAAAATATAAAGTGAAAATCAGCTGGAAACATACTCCTTCACTCTGGCATGCCAAACACAGTGAGAATTAAAGGGACTCTCCAGTGCCAGGAAAACAGTCAGTTTTCCTGGCACTGCAGGTCCCCTCTCCCTCCCACCCCCCATCCCATGTTGCTGAAGGGGTGAAAACCCCTTCAGTGACTTAGCTGAGACCCCCGCCGATGTCCCTCGGGGGTGGTTTTGGGTCGCCGCCACTCCTCCCCTTCATCACATCAGCCTGCGGGGGAGACTGATCCTGCCCGCCGGCTGAGGAGACCTAATGCGCATGCGCGGCAATGCAACGCATGCGCATTAGAGCTCTCCGTAGGAAAGCATTAAAAATACTTTTCAATGCTTTCCTATAGGTAATTGAGCGACACTGGAGGTCCTCTGTGCTATGAAGCAGGAAGTGCCCTGTAGTGGCTGTCTAGTAGACAGCCACTAGAGGAGGAGTTAACCCTGCAAGGTAATTATTGCAGTTTATGAAAACTGTAATAATTACAGTTGCAGGGTTAAGGGTAGTGGGAGTTGGCACCCAGACCACTCCAATGGGCAGAAGTGGTCTGGGTGCCTGGAGTGTCCCTTTAATCAGCTAAAGCTCTTCAAAACATGGGCCAGGAGCTGACACGTCAATAGCCCCTTTGTTAATCTGGCCTAAACAGGTCTTGACCATGGAGTGAAAGGTGGGGTTCAGTAAATGGGTTGGGATTTCATATTGAAATCCTGTGGGAGGGGAATGTCCAATGATGACTTGTATTGTAGAAATGTTTGGAGGAGGCATGGCCCAGGGCAGTAAGGTTATGCGTCTCGATTACCACATTGGCTTTACATACAATTATAGGTTATATTTGTATTTTTCAGACATTTCTAGCCAATGAGAAGCTGTCTAACTTTTACCGAATTCTTTCTACAAACCGTGATAAGAAGGGAGTGGAGTTTGTGTCTACAATGGAAGGTGAGCTGAACCAGCATGTAGTGTTATAAAGATTATAAAAGAAAGTGTTTTGGACATTATGAGTTGTTGGCCCAGCTTCTGCAGGTTTCCTCCATCTTCTTCATACATAGCTATACAGTTACGATATTAGTCCTTTTATTTAGCGAAAGCTGAATAGTTTTACTTCAATTAATAACAACATATATGAGACTAGTACACATAGAACTAATGAATTATTCATTGTGATGAGACACAGGGCTTTTATGATTGACAGGTGAGAATTTTTAATTATTCCAGATAAACGAGGACTGGGGGAAATACTACATACAGAGCTTATGCTGTGACTGATTGGTTGAATGGGAACAAATTCTCACAGACACAATCCAAAATCCAAAATCTTGCAGAAAGCCTTGTCATGAGAATGTCAGCTGTTATAGGTCATGGTTTGAGAATGGAAAAACTATCCAAAATTATTGGTTGATTGAGGATACTTTAAGACTTTTAAAATCCTTATTTTGGGTGAAACATCACAATTAAAAATGAATTTTTAATCCATAGCTCGTAATTTTCCTATATATGGCGTTCAGTGGCATCCAGAGGTGAATCGCTTCCAGTGGCACAGAGATTTAGCGTATCCACATTCTGAAAATGCAATATGGATTTCACAGTACATGGCAAACTTCATCATCTCTGAAGGTAAATACATTGTCTGCGCCAAACAATGATTTTATGCTCTTTAATACCTTTATTCCACTGCATATTTCATTCATGTAGTTGCATAATGTTTCCTTGCTAACCACAGCAGCATATATCATTGGGTAACTCTTACCCTCTCCCCTCTGTTGATAATGTAAAGGAAAGGTGTTAAAGCAATGTTATAATCACCCAGACCACTTCATCTCAATGAAGTGGTCCAGGGTGCAGTGTCCCTGTCCTTTCAATCCTACAATCCTTCAATGTCTACAAGTCTACCTATTGTGACTGTCAGTATGACAGCGACCAGAGGCCATTCCACTGCACTGACCTAGTAAAAACTCAGTCACATGACGAGGAAGCCCCCATAGGAAAGCATTTCCCATAAGGAAGGTTGAATGCACTTGCCGCGCATTCAAGTTCCATCTACGAAGAGCATTGGAGTGTACCGTAACTGAGGAGGCCATGCCTCCTTCTCCATGACATCGCTTGAGGTGGAGAGTAAAATAATTTATTTTTTATATTTTCAATGCAAACATGAGGTGGGGACCTGTGTAGAGCTAGGGACAGGGACACTATTGCATTATGAATTGTATTCCTAGCCCTACAGTGTACCTTTAACACTATTCTGACTAAAACAAGCATGCCATTCCCTCACAGTAGTATCAGATCCCTGCCCAAAAAAATCTGCACATAGAATATGTTTGTCTTGTGGGGATTCTCAAAACTTTCAAATTCCACAGTAGATATATCTGTAGAACTGCCAGCGTGAATTAACTTGTTTGGGACAGGATTCCACGCATGGAGGTAGACCAATCATTTAGTAACACTACCTATCTGATGTAAATATATAAAGATTGTTTGCCACATTGACATTATCTATAGAAAGATGGTACAGGTATAATTTGAAAATGAAACCAGGTTCTAAATTATATTTACACCTAATCTTCTGGTATCTCCTTTCAGCTCGGAAAAATCTGAATCACTTTGCTAATGAACAGGAAGAGGAGAAATCTCTGATCTATAACTATGTTGCCAAATATACTGCCAATATTAGTGGATATGAACAAGCCTATTTTTTCTAGATTTTACCAGATGTCATGCACTAGTGGATTTTGTTTAAATATATCCATTGCTATATATAGATGTATAATAGTATGGTCGAGAAGTAACTGTAAATACTGTATTTGAGGATTATGGAGAAATTTAATGTTATATTCTGGAGAGATTTTTAGGTATAATTAAAATGCAGAAATACATGTAAGAAGAATGTCTGACTATGTTTAACGGTTTGCTAAAGAAAGGTTAAAGGGGATCTGTCACTACTCAGCACTGAATAAAACAGTGAAAATCATATGTAACTTGTGTTTAAGCAAATGGCACTGTTTAATTTCCCCTCGTGTCTGTATGTCTTTCTTAAAGGGATACCATAGTTCCAGGAATACAAAGTTGTAGCCTGTGTATTCCTGTTTACAGACACAAACAGCAGGCACAATCTGACATTTGACACTTGATGTCCTGTGTAGAGGACACTGTGTATGGTTAACAATCAAGGCTGTTGCCAGCTGATTCACAGAACGATCCGATCGTCAACAGTCTCTGATAAGAAACAGAGGAATTTTGGCTTGTCAACCTAATCAGTTATGGGAATATGTTTTTGTATGTACAAAGGCAACAAATAAAGCCTTTTATTTTTAAACTGGTGTGATTCCACAATAGGGACATGTGTACAGTGGTTGTATATTAAGTATTGACACATAATGCCACAAGGCTGCACTAAATCTGGGAAATTGTTAAGGTGCTTGCTGCTTTCAGGCTTAAATAGCTAGGCTGGAAAAAGGTTTTTTGGAATTTTGACATACAAATTGCAGTTCCCAAATAAATACTTCACAAATCCGTGTATAGCAAATAAATCCCTAAGAGATTTATCTACTAAAAAGAAACTAGTGAATTGTCAACAGAACACATAAAATGTGGGGAACAATTGACAAGTTCATAAAATTTTAGCTACTAGTATTCTGTATCAGAACAGTCCATTAACCCCTCACCTTCCCCTGCATTGATATCTTCAACAGGCAAATCACACTAATAGCATATATCATTTAATTTATGAAATAAGGAATTGTAAAGACATTAAAACTGTGCAGTAATCTAAACAAAAAGAAAAAAACACAAACATTTTTCCTGCTGGCCTGTGTTGGTATAAAAATTATAGTTCTGTAGTGGTATAGTCTCAAAATTCAAAAAAACCCAACTAAACAGATTTGTGTTGCAATGTTTAGGAATACTGCATAGTTTAAATTTAAAGGTAAACTATAGGCACCCAGACCACTTCAGCTGGGAAGAGAGACTAGAGTGCGAGGAATACAACTTTGTATTCCTGGCCTATATAGTTTTCCATTAACATACCCCAAGATATGATTTAAAATTACTGACATTTAAACTCTAAACCTATTTAATCAATAAAGAAAGATTAGTATCCACATCTGGGTTATTTATAAAATTCCCCTTGGCCGTGAAGATGCAGCACCAAAAATATATTTGGTATGGAGCACAGGCCTCTTGGTTTAAAGATACTAAACTAAGACTACGCAGTTTGAAAACAACTCTAAAGAAATAAAAACAAACACATTTAAAATTGTTACACACTGTAGTTCAAATAAAATGATTTTAAATAAGTCACTTCAGAATAATATTGGACAAAATATTTAAGTAACAAAACACAAAAAATAAAGGTTGTTTACCATAGCTACAAGTGTGGATTTCTCTTCTGGTTGGATTTATCTTGATTGCAAATAACACATGTACAAACAAATCTTGGAAATTACAACAGGTGACAGGAGTTGCATAATAAAAGATGCAAAACAAGAGAGTCTGCAGGTAAATGGAGTAAGAGAAGTTATAAACTGGCTAAATTACAAGAGTTAACAACAATTTACATATTGGCTGTATAACACAATATGATTAGTTAGAAAAAAAAAAAGCTCTTTCAACCACATTTTATTCATCAGGATGATTCTTAGGCGGTTGTTGGGTATCTGAGATCAATTGCTTAAAAAAAATATAAAAGTATTATGGAAGAAGAGTAAGTCATTTGAGCTGTACACTGTCAGGACAATACCTGCAGAGATATTATGCATTTGCCCATAGAAATTGCTCAAAATTTCTCATCCACTAGGCCACTTCACCCAGGAAGTGCATCTACTTATTGCGCACTCGCTGGTGGACCATAGACTAATAAAGAGATGTGTGTATAGTGTGATTTTACCATAAAGATTATTTAGTAAAGTGTGACTTGTCAGGAATTCAAAGAGCATCTCAAAGTTTAGGACAAAACTAGGTGAACTGATAACATAGTTGATTTAGAGAATATCTCCAATTTGGATGTATTGGTCTAAAATCTGAAAATTCTGATTTCCTGACAGTTCAAACTTTTCTGAACCCAACATCTTCTCAAAGTGTGGAAGATGGCAATATAAAATAAAAGGTTAAGCCTGACCAGATTCAATTAAGTTATTTACAGTATAGTACATACATATCTTATTTTAGACAGAGTTCACTATATATTTGCTTTTTTATTAAAATATATACATTGTGTAAAACTGTTAATCTGGTTCTCTTAGTGGACACTTTGAAACCAATTCAATACAATATGAAGGATCAGTGGATTGTACACATTGTGTTCAGTGAATAACTTGATCTAATTAAAGGGATATTCTAAGCACCACAAAAGCAATCTTATAGTGGGATCACTTACCCGGGGTCCTATGGTTATTAGTCTTAGCCCCCATGATTGCTGGAAGCTCAGGACTTTACTCATGGACATAAAGCACTCAGCTGACCCACAAAAAATGTATGTCTCTTCCTATATGTGGGCAGTAAGGTGTGTACCCCCTCCTTATATGCAAGAGGAATACACAGTGGGATTGACGGAGAACTTAACTATTATAGGACTTCACTGGGAACAGATACCCACCATAGGTATCACCACAAGAGAATACAAAAACACAAAGATCAAAAGAAGAAAAGGTACGGGGAAGAAATAAACTGGGAAGTTTGGCTAGAGATTTACGAAAGGATAACAAAGTAGTAATACAACAAATTATTTATCAGAATGCAAATTGAACCTCAACCTTCAATAATGCTTTCCATTTAAAACATGTAACAATAATGTAACTTTAAAACAGTGTTACAAATTTGAATGGTCATAGTCATCAAAGACTGGATTTAGATAAAAACTGGGACTCGAGGTGTTACAAGTGATGAGGACATCGAGCAGGAACGGATGTTTGGGAGATGTACACGGTGTTCTCTTTCCAGTACTGCTTACACCACCCTGCTTCAGAAGTCAAAGTGGAAAGGTGTTCACTCCTGGGCACCTGGAAGAACAATCAGGTTACTACATATTCCTATTCAAACCTTGGTTTAGAGATCGGTACTTGATGGCTCTCCAATCTGGAGAAATAAGTCATTTGGAGGTGGATAGACAAAGTAGAGATTGCAAAGGAAAAAAAATTTCCTTTCCGTATAATGAGAGAGTGAATAGCATCTAGCTAGCAGAGTATATCAATTAAAAATATATATTGTTTGTCCATGCTAGAATTTGTAAACATTTGTTTTACTAATTTTCTTTGCAATACTGCAGGAAACAGTTGCAATGTGGAAAATGATTACGAGAAATGCTTACCAGAAATACAGTTTCTTTACATTTTCCTTAACAAACAGCAGCAAGATGGAGTGTTATTGTAATGGCTGATCCATGCTTACACCAATAGTCTGATAAATCTCTTTTAGAAATAGTAGAGCAGTATCTTCAGATGTCCTAAAATTAACCAATATAAAACTCATGTGAACTCATAGTATGGCATTACAGTAAAGATCTTCACATGTGCTTAAGTGCAGGTTTATTGAATTAGAAATGTGCGTTAATGTGTGTTTCATCAAAAAATGAAAATCGCAAACAAGTAAATGACACAAGATTAAGTGCTTAAGCTAAAATAAAGTTAATGTAAGCAAATCTCCAGGTCCAGATGGTATTCACAGTTTTATTTACTTAAGTGAGAAGTCAAAGTGAATTTAAAATTTAAAGGAAAGGTATAGGCACCCAGACCACTTCATCTCAACAAAGTGATCTGGGTGCAATGTCCCTTTAGTTTTAACCCTGCAATTGAAAATGAACCCTTCTGACAGCCACTAAAGTCACTTCTGCCTGAATAACAGAGCTAACCCCGGCTATTATAATCAGATGGTCTCATACAGACTTCTAGTTTATGTCAGACAGCTACTAGAGGGACAAACTGGATTAGGTCAACATTCTGCATGGAGATGCGGTTTAGCATGGTGTTTTTTTCGCATATCCGCAATAACCTTCCAATGCTTTTCTATGGGAAAGATCATAAAGATTTAGGTCTTACCAGCTGTAGTGAGACCAGCGCAGTGATGGAGAAAAAAAAGATATATAAAATACATTTTAACTCCATTCTGAAAGGGGCTGGTGACCTAAACAAGTAGTCCAGTACTATAGTGTTAAGAATACAAGTTTGTATTCCTAACACTATAGTATTCCATTAAATGGGGTTGAGCTAGGATAGGAATACTGGTAATAGTATTGGGCATAGTGATTTGTATGTTGACACAGTAATGAAAAATTAAGTATACATATCATGATTCAGCGGTAACTAAAGAGTAACTCTACAGTTATTGAATTACAACTCATATTATTCAAACTGGTCATAGCCAACTGCAAGTTCAATACCGTAAGACAGGGAGGCCAACAATGGCGGTTAAGCAACATGCATGTCATAATTGCTTTAATAATCTTATGTTTCCATTGTATTACCAGTAACACAGGTGGCTCTGTAGTGCAAAGAGATATTCATTGAAGCTTTCAATTGGTTTTTCCTGGAGAACATAATCAAAGCGCTGTCCACCATTCAACATCCCCACATCAATGTGCAGAGGATCTTCTTTAACAGGTGCCGAGGCTTCAGGTTCAGTAGCTAATGAGAATGGAGGGAAAAGTCTTTTAAACTATTTCCTATTCACAATATTATATGAATCCATGGATATACAAATATTAGGCAAA